AGGGTCAAAAAAAATCGGATATGATGCGCTTTCGCTTGCAGTGTGAACGTAGCCTAAGGTGTCAGTGAGCACCGGTGGGTGAAAATGGAAATCCCTTTCACCTTAAACTGGTGCTCATTTCAAACAGGAAGGAAAACAATTATCATAAGAGTCGTCCAAGAAGCAAGGATCGCTTCTGGAGAGCAACAGAAAGACCTGGAATCAGCAGGTACAAGTGATCAAAAAAATAAAGAAATAATGCACTCAACCACCATGGCCTTTATGAACACTCACCACACTTGGTGGGTTAAGAAAAAGCAGGTTTAAAGGTTGCTGACCAACATTTAGACACGGCTGTGAAATACAAGGTCAAAAGGCGCTGCGCATATCACCCCCAAAACACAAAAAAACCTGCTGCCATCTACCAGGATGATGACGAGGAAACGTCGGTTTCAGCAAACACACAGCCGAGGAGACTCAATACAGCTGTTATTGCTAATTGAAAATCTATGGAATGAACTAAAGCTCAGAGTTTATGGGGAAGGACTCACAAAGACTTTTTTTCATATAGGACATCACCAACAAAGGCTTTTGTATCAAGTGCATAAATATACACTTTTTCTGTGTGTCATTTTTCATTATTAGACATAACTGTCGATTTAATAGGTTTGAATGTGTGAAGTACAGAAGACAGAGTGGAAACAATGTAACAGCCTCAGCTGATATAACTGACGGGAACAAAATACAACACATGTAACAACTTCACACCTCAGCAAAGTATCTGCAGTAAAACAATGAGAGAGAAGAAGCAAAGGTGTACCGCAAAACAGAAGAGGGCATATTTAAAGTTTCTTACCTGATCCTGCATCCATGATGTTGGACTGGCCACGACGATCAGCCACCAACCGCGATGAGCCGGGCATGCTGACAGGCTCTGAACGTACTGGCTGGATCCTAAACATGTTTGTTATGCATCCGTTAATACACACACTCACACACACACACACTAAAAGAACACACATCCACTGGGATCCAGATGCTTATTTAACTGGAGCTCTGGTCTGTTGTTTCAGTGATTAAGTACTACAGGCTTCATCGATGTGGACTCTATCCACGATTATTAGAATATTAGGATCATTTCTGATTAATGACCAGCTCCATGTGTAGATCGTCTTTGCGTTTAGGCTGGTGTGTATTTCTATGAGAACAAATTTAAAGTACCTGAGGCTGTGGAGGTCCAGGTCGTCTGTGTCGAAGTCCAAAAGGGGCTGCTGAACATCGCTGGGGCCCTGGGACTGAAGCACCGAGGATGAAGAGGAGATGACTGTGGTCTGGCCTGAAGGATGAATTGTCTTAAACTGAAACTGGGGGCCCATCCACAGGCGCCGATGGGGGCCTGTATGAGTCACGATCTCCACCTGAAACGAGAGGTTTAAACTAAATAAGGTTCATTCAATTCCGTTTTCTTTAGATTATTAGGAAGATGCATTCATTTGTCTAACGTGCTCCAGGCTGGCTTTCACAGGCTGGCTCTGGCATCTATGTGCCAACGCTGAAAAATTCCACGCAGTACTCAGATGAACTCAGTTACATGGCATCAAACTAAAAGCTTGCTGTACTTGTGTACCACTAAAAGTCTGGCGATGATGTCAGAACTCATCAATGTCTTGTGTGTGTTGGGAGTGCTAGCAGCCTGATGGGAGGCCTTCCCAGAGGGTTAATAGAAGTGTGACACTAGCAACGGCGTGGCAGCAAAGCTGAGGTGAGGCCTACAGGGACAATAAGATGGCACTGCTGTGGCAGGCGGTCCATGGGCGCCTGAGCTGAGTGGCACTAATGCTGGCTAAAAGTAGGATAGGAGGTTATGGAGTGGCTCACTCATAAACATCAGACTATTACTGCCTCGTCTATTCTCCATCTCCTCTTTGCCTTTATTGAACAGCCGTCTCCTGCCTCGGACTCCTGCTTTTCACTGCTCTCCCAAGCCGTCTCTACTCTGAATCCCTGCAGCAATTAGCACGCCTCTTGGTGTCTCGCTATTCGGATGTCATTATCTTTACTTCATACACATCTGTCTCTCAGCTCAGCTGAGTATTTTCTTCCACTATGGCTTCCACGTGCTAACATCTTAAACAATCTCAACTTTGCCGTGTCTGTTTACATGCACACAGACATGAGATATGTGAGGTTCATCACAGCTGTGCAAATTAGGCCACAGAAGGAGGGAGGATTGTCACTTTGCATGTGTGTATGCTTTTCCAGTTAACACCATCGATGTCACGCCCAGCTGCGGAGCCGAGACAGCTGCCAGCGTGTTCTCTTTGCAATGGCACGGTAGGTCCAGATGTTACAGTCCAGTATCAACCCCAAATGCACATCCCCTTGCAGACTTGTTGGACAGAGCTAGTTGACATGTTGCCACAGATTTGCCCATGCTGCTGTAGCCTCGACACCGAATGAGATCAAGCTAGCTGCCTCTGTCTGTGCAAAACCTTCACATTTTCTCCTTTTTTATAGGCTGAATATTTTTACTCTTATAGCATCAGCGCTATCTTTAGAAAGTAAGAAGAAAAGACGAACATCCTGGCATCTTATAAATGATTGTCTGAGGTTAAGAAGCTGCACAAATATTGGCTAAGCTAATTTGCTTGTCAGTTGTTTTCATTTAGTGAAGTATTTACCATAAGCATTTAAGGGGCTGTGCTTGTGCATTTTTTAAATGTTCCTGTTATCTAACACTTAAAGGCAACACATCTCTTGCAAATAAACTGTCCTCTAATCCATTTACGTATTAGGAGACAATTAAGAGATGAACCGAGGTGGACTGTATAAGGACAGGAGTTTGTGTTGTCTACTCAGTCAGCTGAAGGCCAACTGACACTGACAGGCACCAAATGGCACAGCACTGCAGTGAGCTGAAGCACTGACATGGAGGGTCACAAACCTCACATTTCATTAGGGGATGGCCGATCAATCCTGAATCCCAATCTAATGCCAAAAAGCCCACTGAAAATCTAATGAGGGCCACTGATATGATATAATGAAATCCACGAGGCAGTAGTTAGCCTCTAATTCAATATAGCCTATATGTATTTAGCTCTTCTCAATCCACAAAGCTATTATGCTTGGTATCTATGCTTTTCTTCATATTCTAGGGAAACCGAAGCAAAGAGGAAACTAACCAGCATACCCATATATCAGTTATGGTATAATATCCCAAAGTCTTTGTCCAAATCATTTAATTTTAATGCTGGAAGAGCTGTAGAGTTAAATCTTCAACCACTGACACATACATTTTTATCACTGCTCTGACAGGAAGTCACCCAAAATACAGGTTAGTGCGAGGGATAGTTTTGCTCCTGGCAAACTATCATGGCAGATTTGAACCAGGGCCTCTGCTAGCTAAGCGAAGTACATTTTACCCGATCAATTATGTATGCAGTGGAATTATTGATGATGAAAATGTAGTGGGCTACCTGCCGACACTAGCGATAAGTGCTACTTGTGTTAACCAAGCTGAAAAGACCTGGGTGAGTGTGTCGTGTTCGCGCACTCAACCAGGTTATTTCAGTGCAGTTTTGAATTGTGTTTTTATCAGGTAAAAATACAAAATAATTTGTTTCAGACAGTTATGTCAAAATATATTAAAATAAGGACAGTTATGTGTAGGGGTTTCACTTGGGTTGGGAAGAATTTTCCAACTAATTTACATTTTTAAATTATACTTGACCTTCTTTCCATCATTAAGGGGGAAAAGCTATCCAAATCTATCTGGCCCTGGTGAACTGGTGGCAGCAGCAAGAACTGCAATCAAGCATTTGCAATAACTGGCAATGAAGGTTTCATTGTGGAGGAACTTGGAGGATTTTCTGAGCATGGCCAGCCTATTTTGGTCATGCCAAGTTATTTCTCCTGTTTTGGCTTCCCTTCATTGGCTTCCTGTTAAATCCAGAATTGAATTCAAAATCCTGCTCCTCACATACAAGGTCTTAAATA